CGTTTTTGGCCGCCCTGCCGTTCGTAAGCTGCAAGCCGAGCAGCGCTTACGCGAACGCGCTCAGCAGGCCGGTGAATCATTCACCAGCTACATTGAAGACGTCTTGGACCTATGCAAGAAATGCAACGACAGCATGTCCGAATCAGACAAGATCCGGAACGTCATGAAGGGCATTGCCGATGATGCCTTCACGATGCTGCTGGCCAAAAACCCAGGCACAGTAGCTGAGGTCATCACGCTGTGCCAGAGCTACGAGGAGCTCCGCCGGCAGCGTTCGATGACCCGTCGCTCCACACCACGAGATGCAGGGCTTGCAGGCTTGGAGGCGAGCTGTGACCAGGTGGCACTGCTGGCAGACCTCAAGTCCTTCATACGTGAGGAAATCGCACGGCAGTTCTCTCTCCTGCCCTTCGCCCACCCACCGGCTGCTCAACAATCGGCCACTACCATTTCCCCCCCCTTCCGCCGAGCGATTGAGCAGGAAATAGCGGAGGTTATGCCTGCGTACCACCCACAACAGCTTCCGGCTCCTGTACCCCCAAGTTACGCCCAAGTGGTCGCCAGGCCGCCTCCAGTCGTTCAAGCGCCCGCCCCACTGACTTACGCCGAAGCTGCCGCACGACCTCCATCCTTTGCAGCGGGTATGCCGGCTACGTATGTTGACGTGACCTCTCAGACTCAGCTCCAGCACCCCCTGCAGCCTTTCCAGCCACCGTTCCGTCCATCGGCTCTTGCGTCATGGACAAGACCTACCCCGGCGAACCGATGGCACACATCCGACAACCGGCCCATTTGCTTTGCCTGCAGTTACGCCGGCCACGTAGCGCGTTATTGCACTCGCGTACAGACGCCCCATATCTCGTCGCCTGTTGCTGGACAGATTAGGCGTACCTATCACGAGGAAACGCCGTCTATGCCACCGCCAACTCGCCTAGCTTCATCTTCTCGTAGGTCACCGTCTCCACGACGTCGTTCCCCGTCCCCCATGCGGCCAAGTTCAGCTGCTCACGAGCGGGAAAACTAGTCGTCGCAGTCCCCGAGGCAAGGACTGCGATGCTATCGCATTGTGAAAGCCCTCAGAGCCGCCCATCTAATGTCATTGACGTGCTTGTGGACGGTGTTCACGCATCTGCTCTTATTGACACAGGAGCTGCAGTATCCGTTATGGACGAAAAATTTTGCCGCTTGCTTCGTAAAGTGACGACGCCAATTTCTGGATTGTCCCTTCGTACCGCCGGTTTGCATCGTATCCATCCTACAGCAGGGTGCACAGCTCGCGTTGTCGTTCAGGACGTTCTGTATGTCGCCCAATTCATCATCATTCCCGCATGCTCTCATGACGTCATCCTGGGGTGGGATTTTCTCTCCCGCAACGACGCCGTCATCCATTGTGCCGCCGCCGAAATTGAACTCTCCCCCTTCTCGCATTTGACGCCGGAAGACAGTTCTTCGAAAGTGAGCAAGATTCTCGTGAAAGACGATACCATAGTGCCTCCAAGCTCCACGATGGGTGTATCTGTCTACTGCGCTGGACTCTCCGACACAATTGCACTCGTTTCGCCATCCGACCGTGCTTGCCGAAGGAAAGGGTTGCTAGTACCTTTCGCGACCGTGCAAATCACCCAGGGCAACGCCTCTATTTTCGTGACCAACCCATCCCCGTACACTGTTACCTTGGTTCGAGGGGAATGTCTCGGCAGAGTGGAACCAGTGGATGACGCACAAGTCCTGGACGTACCTGATGACTCGCGTTGTCCCAATTTGCGTACCATCAGTGCTGTTTCCACTTCTGATTCGTCATCTCCTGATGTATTTGGCCCTTGCATTGATGACAACCTCACGTCGGTACAGCGTTCCCAGCTTCTGAACCTGTTGCGAGAATATCGTTCTTCTTTCGATGTCGGGCGAAGTTCTCTCGGTCGTGTGTCCGCTGTTACGCATCGTATCGACACTGGTGCCCATCCACCATTACGGCAACGTCCCTACCGCGTGTCGCCTGCTGAACGTCGGGAAATTAACGAGCAGGTTGATGATATGCTCAGACGCGACGTTATTCGGCCCTCGGACAGTCCATGGGCGTCTCCTGTTGTTCTTGTTGCGAAGAAAGATGGTTCTGCGCGGTTCTGTGTAGACTACAGACGGCTCAATAAGATCACTCGCAAGGATGTTTACCCACTGCCGCGCATCGATGACGCAATTGACAGCCTTCACGGAGCCGAATTTTTTTCTTCTCTCGATCTGCGCTCGGGGTACTGGCAAGTACCCATGGCTGATGACGCTCGACCGAAGACTGCGTTCATCACACCCGACGGCTTGTACGAATTCAACGTCATGCCGTTTGGTCTATGTAATGCACCTGCGACCTTTGAGTGCATGATGGACACCGTTCTGCGCAACTTGAAATGGCACACGTGCTTGTGTTACCTCGATGACGTTGTTGTGTTCGCTCCAGATTTCTCTACGCACCTCCAACGTCTGAAAGAAGTTTTTGCACGTGTCAGCAATGCCGGCTTGCAACTAAATCTGAAGAAGTGCCGCTTTGCAGCACGGCAACTCACCATCCTTGGGTACGTCGTGTCCAAGGATGGCATTCTTCCTGACCCAGCCAAGCTTCGGGCCGTGGCCGAATTCCCCAAACCTGCGTCCGTCAAAGAACTGCGTAGTTTCGTGGGCCTGTGCTCGTACTTCCGACGCTTCATACGAAACTTTGCCACGATCATATCACCGCTGACGAAGCTCCTTGGAAGTAACGGGTCCCTCAATTCGTGGTCGTCTGAGTGCGACGACGCGTTCGCGAAGCTCCGCCATGTGTTGACATCTCCTCCCATTCTACGCCACTACGACCCTACGGCCCCGACGGAGGTGCACACAGACGCCAGCGGTGTAGGCCTCGGCGCTGTCCTGGCGCAGCGCAAACCCGGATTCCCTGAATATGTCGTAGCATATGCAAGCCGTACGCTCACGAGAGCTGAGACAAACTACACCGTCACGGAGAAAGAGTGCCTGGCGATCGTGTGGGCTCTTACAAAGTTTCGACCGTATTTGTATGGTCGCCCATTCGATGTCGTCACCGACCATCATGCACTATGCTGGCTTTCATCATTGAAGGATCCCTCAGGCCGTCTCGCCCGTTGGGCTCTTCGTTTACAAGACTACGACATCCGCGTGCTGTACCGCAATGGACGCCAGCATGCTGATGCCGACGCCCTCTCACGCTCCCCTCTGCCTGAAGGTGATGTGCTCTGCTCAGTATCTTCGGCTGCTGTTTCTGCCATTGACGTTGACATAATCGCTACCGAACAGCGAAAGGATAATTGGATCGGCCCGCTGATCGACTTGCTGTCTGATCCATCCGCAACGCCATCCACGCGTGCATTGCGTCGTCAAGCTCGCCATTTCGCCATTCGTGACGGCCTTCTACACCGACGCAATTACGACGCCGACGGCCGGCAGTGGTTACTCGTGATACCCCGCAGTCTGCGGTCAGAGATATGTGAATCCTTCCAATCTGATCCGCAATGCGCGCACTCTGGGGTATTCAAAACCTACCATCGCATTCGACAACGCTACTTCTGGCGCGGGATGTACCGCTATGTGCAGCAGTTCGTTCGCTCTTGCCTCACTTGCCAACGCCGTAAACCGTCAGCTCACATGTCGCACGCCAGTCTACAACCGTTACCTTGCCCTGACCGTCCCTTTGGGCGCGTAGGTATCGATTTGTATGGACCACTTCCTCTGACGTCGGCTGGTAACCGCTGGGCCATCGTTGCCGTTGACCATTTAACGCGATACGCCGAAACCGCCGCTCTCCCTGCGGCTGCTGCGCGCGATGTTGCGTCCTTCCTGCTGCATCGATTTATACTGCGCCACGGACCACCCCAAGAGCTTCTCAGCGATCGAGGCCATGTCTTCTTGTCGGAAGTCGTCGAAGCCATTCTGACGGAGTGCCATTCTGTCCACCGCAAAACTACTGCTTACCACCCACAGACGAATGGCCTCACCGAACGCTTTAACCGCACCCTCGGCGACATGCTTTCTATGTACGTCGCTGCCAACCACACTAATTGGGATAATATACTGCCCTTCATCACCTACGCCTACAACACCGCCCCTCAGAGCACGACTGGTTTTTCACCTTTCTACTTGCTGTACGGAAGGCACCCGTCGCACACCATGGACACGATACTCCCGTACACGCCGGATCTATCTGAGTGTAAACCTATTTCCGAGACAGCCAGGCTTGCTGAAGAGTGTCGCGAGCTTGCCAAGACTTTTACGACGCAAGAGCAAGAGCGGCAGAAGAGTATCCGTGATGCCAGCACCACTTCTGAGCCCACGTTCCTTCCTGGTGCGCTTGTATGGCTCTCGATCCCGACCTCTGCCGCTGGCCTCTCTTCCAAACTACGTCCCAAATACGAAGGCCCCTACCGTGTCATCGAGCGCACCTCACCCGTCAACTATCTGATCGAACCCGTTGAACAATCTTCGGACATGCGCCGCCGTGGGCGAGACATCGTCAACGTGGAGCGCCTGAAGGCTTATTATGACCCGCTCATAATAACAAGCTGTTAGGTCGCCAGGCGGCTCCCTCTTCGACCCCGGGGTAATTGTAGCGAAGCCTCCGAACTATGAAATGGGTCGAACTCTTGAGTACCTTCTAGTGGGGCTACCCAACAAGGACGCCGCTCGCACTGAGAGCCCGTGCTTGGCCGTTACTGTCGCCATTGTGCTTGCTCGCTGTGGACCGGCTATTAAACGCCTTAACACTATGAGTATAAATGTGAGATAATGACATAAAACAAGCTAAAAAAGCAAGCACAAATTGTGAAAAGACTTTCCATTATTTAAAAGAAAACATCACTCAAGAATAAAAACAGAACTGAATTGCATGTTAGTAATCAAACCATCAAAAAAAGTTTAAAGTAAGAAAAAAAAAACGAGATACTAGTAGTGCATAAACGCGTAGGTGCTGATTTTGATATGAACAAAACGAGCAGTTAATCCTGGAAATGGGTAGAGGCAAATAATGTCGAACTCCTTATAAATTATAAATAAAATGCAATTAACATGCTAGTCTGTTTAAACACAAGGTTTAACGAAGAACACGGGGTAGATTCGACAGATACATAATTAGCACAAGCTCGCAAATGTTTTTTTGCAGCCTAAAAAACTAAAAGATTTCTTAAAATGATTAAAAAAATGGGGGAGGTGGGCACTCAGCAGCCCTATGACTATCGCTTCTGTAGTGCTGCTTTGCTGCCTCTATATTTATAAATAAGAGGATGCCACACTTCTTACAACCGTACCCTGTAAGGCCACCCACTTCGCATTTCGTCCCATTATCACTGTAAACAGGATTGACACCAATGTCTGCGGCAGCGCGACCTTCCGCACTGCTTATGAGGTTTACACATTGCTCCTGGTCTCCGTCCTCCACAGGCCTTACAGCCTCACTGTGCTTCCCTTTATTATTGGTGGAAGAAACATGAACACGGGCAGCAAATGATATTGAGCCAGAAGGAACATTGTGGGGGTTCGAGCTGAAAGTGTTTGGATCTAGAGTGTCCAACGACAATGGTTTCTAGAGAGAAATCATTATCGTCTTCTAATGACTGAACATTTGGCATACGCAACATCAGTGGAGATGATGGCATGTCTTTATACACTGTATAAGATGATGAACATGATTTGTCTGCAGGAACATCAAGGCACACCGAGGAAGAGCCCTGAAGCACGACCAAAGCCTTTCTGTGCTTTTTTTCCCTTGTCATGCTCCTTCATGTTCTGGATGCCAGAGATATCGGTATTGCAGGCGTTGCATTGAATTAAATTTTTGATTGCGGGTGAAGAGAGTTCTCCAGAGAGGCATCCTTTGCCGTCGATACTGAAGTCCCCATGCTTTTCATAGCTTTCTGGTCCAGGGAATCTTTCATTGCATGTCAGGCACTTGTATGGTTTGCTGCTTAGGCTGTGGAGAAAGTGAAATGGTACAATCGGTGCTAATTACTAGTACAAGTGGGAATTGCTACGCCACGTAAAGACTGTAATGCATTGCAACGCATACACCTCCAAGGAATTGCAAGAAAAATCAGTTTCCTTATGAATGCTAATACATGTTGTTTGAATGCTAACATGTTGTTTGAGAGCGTACGTAAGTATTTACCAAGAAAAAAAAAAACATAGCTTGTCTCCTGTAGAGCATAGTTTGTGAAATGGCCTCTCAACGGTTACCCACCTTTTGGAATTTATAGTCAATGCAGCCCAGTCCATTGACAGCCATAAACAAATTGACCTCATATTCCTAAATTTCTCAAAAGCATTTGATTTTGTTTAACATAACAAATTAACAAGTAAATTAAAAGTTACTCTTGGGGATAGTAGTAATGTACACTGTATTAAAGATTACTTAACAAACCACTCACAATTTTTACAGTTACAGGACACCACCTCTAGAACAGCAGCAGCCACATCAGGCAGGCCACAAGACAGCATACTAGAACCAATAATATTAACAATATTCATTAATGATTGGCCCCTCTCAAATGCGTGCTTCACCAAGAAATCAATATTCCTGCCGATCACCTAACTCCGAACAGAGCATCAAAAGATGTACACAAATGGTGCAAAATGGCAAATGTCCCTTAATATTCGAAAATGTGTTTCCATGGCAATAACACGCAAAAAACACAGGTCCAACTTTTATTTTGCCATTGATAACTGCCCCATTAACCACAGTCTCTAACCGTGAATATATAAGAATAACAATTTCTAATGATCTGAGATGGGATACTCACACTGATAACATACCTAGTACAGGCCTAAAAAAACTATTTTACCAAATTCACGATAACCTTAAAGCAGTGCAACTTAGGTGCTTTTTGCTTATCTGTAGCATGAGCATGAAGCATTTTTAATTAGCACACTGTCACAGTTGTAGGTTGCACATTTGTAACAGTTGAATTCGATTTGGAAGCAGCATGATTGAACTAGCTACATGGTTCAAAAGACCGGCTCATAAATCTGTTTTCTTTATGAGCATTCATGAAGTTAGCACTCACATTTTGCGACGGGGACAAATCTGGTGCACTTGGTAGACGTGATGGCGGGGATGCGACAGAGGGGATTTCACCGCAGCGCCTTTGATGCTGCTTGCTTTCCCTGTGCTCCGCATAACTTTTTGGCCCAGTGAAGCTCTTGTTGCATGGTATACACTTGACCTGTACAGCACTGAGCTGCAAAAAAAGTTGTTTTTTTCTGGATTACTAATGTTGGCGTGAATGAAGATTAGGGCATCAGTCGGCGTATGGCAGTGTTGCAGTTGCCAGTTCCGCGTATAGTCAGTGGATACGGGCTTGTTTTTTCACCGAGTCACTTGTCGTGCATTTTTTAGGCTTATTTGCATTTTTCCAGCAAATAGTCATCTTAGTGAACATCAAGATTACCAATGTTTGTTTGTCGTGCACTAATAGCATGTTTGTCAACGACATTGCGTACTTGAGTGCACAGGGTTCTCAATCAAAGAGGCAGCGAAGGTTTATCGCAGGCCTACTGACGTCCTACTGTCAACGTATGGGACCGACTTAGTGCCCCCAAGAGCTCATCCCCGTAGGTGCACCTATGGTTGATTGCCGAAGTCCTATATATGTTGGGAGGATCAACTAGTAACGTTATTCAAATGTTAGCTAGCGTACCTTCAACTGAATAGAGACAATGCTAAAAAAGAAAGCTATGTCCATTTGATCATAGTTGTGCATATTTTCACTGTACAAAGCTATTAGGTGATTGCTTAAACACGTTTTTGTATAAGTGAATAATTTTTTTCACCATAGTTAAAACTATATCCAAGAATGCAAATATATTACATTTCTACTTCTTCTGTGATAAGTATTTGCTTGTTTGTTCAATTGCATCTGGCAAGTATAAGGCCATTGGAAGTTCCAGAGCTGGACTACAATATCTGCCATAATAATAAACAGCCGAGCGTAATGTAAACAAGCGTGCCGTATTTTCAACAGAGGTTTTCATGATTAATGGCCCATTCCGTAAGGAGAGCACGAGCACTCAAAAGCACGCTGGCTGAAGTACTCTCTCTCTCCAGAGCGTGCGTGTTTCAGTGGTCGAACAGGTGTAAGAGCACTGTGATCCAGTAGAAGAGCGAGAGCTTTTTTGCTACACCGAGAGCAGCCAGAGCTTGTAGTGCTCTCGCCTGAAAAGCGGAGTAGGTGCAGTCAATGAGTTGCGTAACTTTTGATAGTCACAGTCTCTGAACTTTGCTTCAGCTGGCAAGTGAGACGGCAATGGCGGCCACCATGTCTAGAGTTTCACACCCCTGTTTTATACGGGTGGCGACGATGACAGCTAGAGGCCTGCCGAATGCATCGTTGCACAAACATACTACGTATCAGAATAATTGAAGCAGTCTGAAAATGGAAACTGAAGAAGAGGAGAGATGGAATGCAGAGGAGGAAGAAGTTAGAAAGAACAGTAATAAATGGCGAACGACACCCCTCTGTCTTAAGTTATTCGATGATGGTGTTTATTTAATCTAGGACCGCTATAGAATTTCGGTGCAGCCAAAGGCGGACATGTGGATTAAGTTGTTCGTTGACCAGACCTCATCGCAGTACGTCGTCTTTACGGGTTTTGAAGTTTAAGGCGAGACAAAAACGGACCTTCCTCGTCATGCGAGTTCTGCATTATTGACTGACAAAGTGATGAAGGACGCTGCCGTTGGCTACGAGGGGCTTCTTCATGTGAAATCCGTGAAGGTGGATCTGAGTCTACAAGTACTAGAAGAGCTTGTCCTTTAACCTATGCGATGTCCACGACTCTCGCAAAAGACTGCTAAAAAGAAGGTGAGCCTGTGAATAAAGATTATTGAAGAGCAGCAACGACAGATGACACAGACTAGTGAGCTAATGAAAACTCTCGTCGATGCGCTGAATAGAGCTCCAACAAAGCAAAGAGTGATGGAATGAATGAATGAATGTTAAACTTAATTTAAAGTCCCGCAGTTTTTACCAGGCGAGGTAGGGGAAGAGGGGATTAACCCCTGTCCCTTTCTGGACAGCCGGATGTTCTTGAAGAAAGTGCCCAGAGTCCTCAAGAACTTGTTCCGAAGGGTAGAAAAGGAATATAAAGGGCCTTCATGGGAAGAAAAATCTTTCTTGACCAGACATGATGGATGCAACATTAACGCCCTCTTACCTATGAGTCAGTATGCACATAGCTGCATAGACCTTCCATGCCAATATGTGCGTAATGACGAAGACAGTGTTAAAACTTCCTACAGCTCTGCGCATAATCCAGCTCTTCACCCCTTGCTGCCTGAACTGAGAAATCTCAATCAAATGAATAGTGGCCGGGAGATTGTGTTTAATATCGTCCAGCCTGCTCCATATACCAGTGAAAATTGATGGTGTCAAAATAAATGCATAGGTGTATAGCGGAGCTTCTGTGTCCATCATTAACAGAGAGCGACATCAATCGTTTGCATGCCTGTAAAGTCATTCGAGTACAAGGATATGATGGCTTGGTAAGCTCACGCAACGAGTGGGTGTCTGTAGTCGTTGACTTTCAAGGTCATTCTATCACCAGCACTGTGTTGACAATGCCGAATGTAGCATATGACTTTCTGTTGTCTCGCCCTGACATGAAGAAGCTCAAGATGACGAAGGCTTGTTAAAGATGAGTCCCCCAGGACACGAAGGATCCAACACCTCATCTATTAAGAGTTTTTCATTGCGAAGAAGACTTTAAAGCCATACAGCCTGAGCTCGTCTGCATTGGAAGCTACCCCCCGGAAATGAAGTCCCATCAAGTGCCATTTGAAATCGCTGATGAGACCGTGCTAAGAAAACCTCGATAGAACATGCCAAGAGAAAAAAAGACATGGCTGAAGAAAGAGTCGCAGGCAATGTTGGATGCAAATATCGTTCGGCCCTCTGTCTCGCCCTTTGCTTCACCTATCACTATCGCTGAGGATGAAACATTCCGTCTTTGTACAGATTATAGGTCACTAAACCAACATACAGAGCTTATACCATTCCCCATGCCCAGGATAAATACAATTATTGACGAAACAGGTGGATGTCGCAGGTTTTCTTGCACTGACTTATGCAAGGGTTTCTGGCCAATTCCTTTGACTGAGGACACAAAGAAATACACCGCCTTTGTGACACCATTTGACTTGTATGAATATAACCGCCTGCCATTTGGATGGAAGAATTCTCCGGCCTGCTTCCAAAAGATAATGAATGATATACTGAAGCCCTACCTCGGAATCTTTTGCAATGTGTACAGGTGCGATCAAAAGTGTGCGGACCACGGGATCGCGTGGCAGAATGCATTGACGCGCCAGCTAGCGACGAGACACCTGCTGCAGGGCGCATGCGCGTCCCGTCTTATCACTTGGCTTCTCATGTCGCTCTGTTAGACGCGTTTGCGGCGCTCGTAGCCAAAACGACCACCGGGTGTCGCTTTCTTTGCTCCATCGAATCTGTGCCGTTCTTTTAGGCAGCGGCTGCGACGGGGCCGGTTCGAGCGCCGGCTCGCGTTGTTATTCACACCAGTTGATTAGGATAAGCATAGCGAGCATCGCACAACCCGACGAAGCCAAACGCACAGAATTAGGTTTTCTCAGGCCAGCTCGCCTTTGTCGGGCTTATCCAAGTTGCACTTGAACGAGCTTAGTTAAGACAAAGTGGATGTAGCCGAAATTGATGAAATGTAGTCGAGTACTTCACGACCTAACTAAGCCAGGCATAAGTAGGTGTTACAAGCTGCCACTCTAGCGTCGCCAGCGCGAAGTCGGCGACGGGAATGACAGCAGGTTGGTTCGTTCCGTACGCAAGCAGAGACAGTGAAGAGATCAGAGACGTGAGAAAACAAAACAAACTTTACTCTAGTGATAGTGCAGCACACGGGATCTAATATAACACTTTAATACAACTAACAAAATACATTGACACTTGATACAACTACAGAGATATATAACAGAAACAATAAATCAGCTTACGAGAGAGAACTATTACAAACTACACAAACTAACAAGAATAGAACGACGGAGGAGAAAGTTCGAAGATATAAACAGGTGAAGGCATACGTGTGATGACCGGCAGCGTTGTGTCCCCGACGATCGGATGCGATGCGAGAAGTCGAAGAGAGTTCTGGCACGACTGCGATGTCGGCGGTGTTGCAACGCTGGTGGTTCCGGGAGGCTAGTGCTTGCAGGTGACTTCAAGCAGGTTGAGCTAACTCGAGGCGAAGTCCCAATGTCTACGTTGCAGACGTTAATATCGCGTCACAACTAGACGAACGGCTAAGTTTAGGTGGCCAGCCGATACAGAGCCACACTAAAAACTTCTAGAAGAGATGCTTGTTGATCTGTTTCTACACCATCTTGGTCAGCGACTAGTCTGCCTAGCAGGGCAAAATCCTGCGCTTAAATCCCCCTCGTGTCTCCTCGCTCTCTTCCTTGGGGACAAGAGACCTCTACATGGGTCCAATCATGCGCGTTTAATTGAGGGGAAACTCCGCCCCAACAATATTTTGACCCCACCCCTTTTTTAATTGGGAGAGGGCCCACAGCTAGCGAGAGCGACAACCTGTCGGGTTGTTGTCATACGGCTTGGCCACCAGAGCGTTTCCCACGCTTTTCCCCGTGGGAACGGTCAACCACTTAGCTCTCAGTCGGTGCGTCTTGTAGTCTAATGACGATAGTTATAGCGCGAGGACAAAACGACGACACAGAGACAAGAAGGACACGAAAGACTCTGTGTCGTCGTTTTGTTCTCGCGCTATAACTATCGTCATGCCATACCAACTAGCCCAAGCTGCCACACTTCTATGTAGTCTAATCCTTGTTCGGGGTATACCGCGGCCTTCTACGACCTTGCAGACGTCGCCACAGTTACAAAAGGATTAACTGTCGGCGGTGACGTTCTAAGAGGAGCACCCCATTTTGCACTTCTCGGATCCCTTTCATGCGCCGCCGTTTCTCACGGTCAGTCGGGGAGTACGGCGCCCGTGAATTGCCGTGACGCGGTGTCGCCAAAAATAGCCGTCCGTGACAGTAGGTTAACTTAAGCCCAGTCCAGCTTGGTGTTTTCAAGTTGAGCGAAGTTAGGCTTAAATGAGCCCATATGAGTCGAAATAAGTACAGCCAAATCTAATTAGGCAAAGTTCATCATGCTCCTTTTTGACCTAGCCATGTAAAATAAGCCTATACAAGGCAAACCTTATCGCGGCCAATTAATCTATGTCGACTTTTCCTATGAGCCCACAGAAGTCAAGGCCAGGAAGATTAAATACTCTTTACCGAATTCATACTGATTAAGATAATAATGTCTAATTATTGCCAATTATTATGAATGGTAATTATGACTAAATATTAGCGTGAAATCAAAATAAAGTCCCTTTTATATTGGAATTTCACTTGTCATAACTAGGCTAAATATGCATTACTAAGCTAATTAGACAAGCACCAAGGTAACTATAAAAACATGATTAAGCTTGGCTGGTCATACCATCATCAAATCAATTGGATTATAATAAGTTTTAATTAAGCAAAATCTCACTAAAACACAAATAATTAACCTAATTACAGTCGAATTCTTATGAACTCAGAGAATCCAAGCTCAGCAAGATGCTGATTACTCCTGACCGAGTCGAGTCTCAATTACTCAAATATAAACCTAATTAGCCTTAACATTATTTATAAATATTACTGAATGTAGTTCTTGACATCCTAACCCACCCGAAGTACTCGAGTTTTATGTCGCAGAATTATGCAAATCACGCCTCGATCCGTCTAACATAGACATCTGTTGCTGCATAGGAAGCTTTTGAGAGTAAACGTGTTTAATGCAGTGTATTTATTCACGTTTGATTAATTTCGGCTACATTAACTTTCACCTAACTAAGCTCCTTCAAGTCCTGACAAAGGCGAGCTGGCCTGAGAAAACCTAATTTTGTGCGTTTGGCTTCGTCGGGTTGTGCGGTGCTCGCTACGCTTACTTATTCTAATCAACCGGTGTGAATAACAACGCGAGCAGGCGCTCGAACCGGCCCCGTCGCAGCCGCTGCGTAAAAGAACGGCACAGATTCGATGGAGCAAAGAAAGCGACACCCAGTTGTCGTTTTGGCTACGAGCTCCGCAAACGCGTCCAACAGAGAGACATGAGAAGCCAAGTGATAAGACGGGACGCGCATGCGCCCTGCAGCAGGTGTCTCGTCGTGTCTCGTCGCTAGCTGGCGCGTCGATGCATTCTGCCACGCGATCCCGTGGTCTGCACACTTTTGATCGCACCTGTACATAGATGATGTACTGGATTTTTCGACAAAAAAAGAGCACCAAAGTCACCTTTCACAAGTCCTGAATTCTCTTAGCCTAGCTGAGCTCAAAGTGAATTTTAAGAAAAGTTAATTTTTTCAGGACAAAGTTGTGTTCCTCAGCAGAGTCTTTGACGCGACTACTAAAAGCACAAAGCAGGATTCAGTTAAAAGAATTTTGAAGTTGGAGAAGCCATAGGATATCCACTCTCTGAAGGTATTTCTTGGTATAGCTAGGCATTTCAGGTCTTTCATAAAAGATTATGCTGTGAAGACCAGGTGCCTCACACGTTTGATGCAAAAGGAGGTCCCTTTTCAATGGAGCCTGGAGTGTGAAAAAGCTTACAACGAACTAGTGAAACTGATATCACCACATCTGAATCTTCGTATACCGGACTTCTCCATGCCTTTTGTGCACAATACTGACGCGTCACATTATACAATGAGTGCAGCTCTTTATCAGAAGCCGTCACAACTACCTGATCATCAAAAGCACCAAGTAGTCAGTTTCTACAGCTATACTTTGAAGCCTGCTGAATTTAATTATACCACCACTGAGAAAGAAGCTTTGGCTGTTTTAAAAGCTGTCCAGTATTTTCGTACCTACCTAAAGGGTGCAAAATTCACCCTGTTTACTGATCACTAAGCTTTGGCACATCTCCTAAGCATGGCACAACCAACGGGACGAATCGCTCGATGGGTGGACTATCTACAAAAATTTGACTTCGAGTTATCACATCACCTTGGTCCGCTGCTAACAGATGCAGATGCATTGTCCAGATTACTTGTTCACAAGATAAGCGAGCAACGTGAAGAAATAAATTGCGCCAAGTTATGGGAAAGAACCAAGGAAATGAAGCTTGTTGACGGGACATATCCCGTGCCATTGACAATGGTTTTAAAAATACTTCGTCTGTATCATGATAGTCCGAAGTCCGGGACATGACGGCTTCGGTCGCACCTACAACAAGCTCCTGAAAAGATTTACTTGGCCAAGTATGAAGAAGGACGTGAAAGAATACATTCGGACATGCCATCTTGCAAAGTGAACAAAGCAAAGTTTAAGCAGGCAACAGATGTGATGATAACACCAAAATATTTCAGCATTCCTTTTGAAGCGATTCATTTAGATTTCGCTGGATTGATAAAGAAGAGCGAGGGTACCAAGAAAACACAAGCATTTCTACTTGGCACAGACGAATGCACAACAATGGTAATGACAAAAGGAGGAAGGGAAGATGCCAACAGCGTTATTGCTTTCCTTCAATCAGAATGTCTTAGGTGTACCAAGGCCATAGTTTGTGACAACGGCCCCGCCTTTCGGAGTGCAAAGCTAGTTAGGTGGACAAAAGACTGTGGCATGATTTTGAAATTTTGTTCGCCTTACCATCCTGCGGCAAATTGCTTGGCTGAACGTGCCATTATAGATATCAAGCAATACCTAAAGATGTACCCCAGATTTCAAGGTGGCTAGTAGTGCTGCGTTGAGGCTGCAACCAGACGTCAGAACCGCTCGTAAACCAGTGGCCTAGGATGTAGTCCTCTGTTTGCTGCCTGTGGAGTGGTCCCTACCTTCCCCGCTGACCATGAGCTTGGCCTCCTTAAAAAGTTCGTTCTCAAAGAAGCCAAGAAAGGCGAGAGCCAAGGCGACTCCTATAGACAGCGCATAAAGAGGAACCTCAACAAGAGACTGAACAGTGACATTCCATATATACAAGTCGAAGACTCTGTTCTAATCCATAAAGGAATTCGCACGGCCAATGATCAGTTTTATGGGCCATTTGCCGCGGTTAAAACGGCATCTCCGAACGGTTTTTCAAGACAGTTTGGTATCTAGGATCATCAGGACAAACTGAGTGTGCTTCCATTGATAATGTGTGTAAGTACTACACCCAGAGGTGTAAACAAAAGAACTGGGGGAGGGTGAAGCAGTCTGACAAGAAAAACTGAAGAAAAAGAGGAATGGAATGCAGAGGAGGAAGAAGTTAGAGAGAACAGTAATAAATGGCGGACGGCTTAAGTTATCCGATGGTGCTGTTTATTTAACCTAGGACCACTAAAATAATGAAGAACATGTGACTGACCGATTGCACGCGTATTTTGCTGCTGCCCCACAGAGAATGCTGGGGCTTGGGAATGTTTTAATCGCAAGGTCTCCCCACACATCACCCTTTCGCCTGCTCCCAGGGAGCGTGCCGCATTTTAGCGACATACTGAGTCGCTATGCTCTCGGTCCCGCTCCTCACATGCACTACCGCTTCACTCCTGTTCTCAAAATGGAATCCACCATAACTCCACCTACACGACATTGCCGGGGGCCACACCATGCCGAAGATGTCGCTCTGTCTGTGTCGCTGTGTTTGTAGCGTGGATCCAGCATGCATTACACACTGCTACACATCAATGATTCAGCACAGGAATGCTATTTTTAACGTCATTTTTTTTTTCTTGTGCGACTATACAGCAATGACTAGAAGCTAACTTTCTCCTACAGTTAAACGGTTTTCTGTTTTTGCGACTGTTCACTAGTAGAAGTGTTGTTTTGATTGCAACTGATATCCACCTATTGAATGCGCAGATCGCACCGAGCCGCTAATAAAATAATGTGTTCTTCAGAAATATCTTCGTAGGTGAAAAGTTAAGGCACACGCACAGCTAACGAATACGCGGTCTGCACAGCGATAACACCATGTGCAGCCCCAACTTTGGCTACACCGATTAGAAACGTTTCTTTTTTTCTTATCAACCAGTTAGAAACATTGATACTGCCAGCCCGTTAACTTTTGCGGCAATATTGAAAAGGAAAAAAAAAAAAAAACTCCATCACGTGCGATAGCTTTCTACATGCAGAAAGCACATGTAGCAATTAAACGCAAGAAATGTTTCACAGAAACAAGGAAAAAGAAGAATTACGATTCACAAGCAGGCCGGTATAGCACCGTCAGAACACTGATACAAACAAATTGATCTGCATGTTACGAGTGAAATATTAAGTAACGCACTCATTATATAAAAAAAAAAAAACAATTTACCCGGCGGGAATTGGAAGGCATGTTGAGTACGGTTCCGAATTTGCCAAGCCGACCTGTCTTGAGTGGCTACTAGTCGCCCGCTTCACTTCCACACTGATCGACAACAAAATTAACAAACTTCGTACAGAAGTTGAGTTGCTTGTCAAGCTGGCTGCTATCGGTGAAGTTTTTACAGCTGATGTTTGGGGCGACCGGCTAGTCGTGTTGAGGTGCGCAGTCTTATCTTTGCAAAGCTGACAACTCCAGAGAATGAAGCGAAATGACCCAAGCGGAGCTCCATGCCTGCTTAAATAGTGGTACAGAAAAAAGAATGTTCTAGAAATTAAGTGTTTTAACCAATCAGCGTCTTATCTATATCTTACCTTCACGTCTCGTGTTCTCCCAGTGAACGCCTCCTAGATTTCCCGTGCCTGCCAGATGAGCGCGAAATGCCGGTCATCTATGGCGACGATGCCTACGTAGGTGTAAGGGTCTTTGTACTCGGCCTTTAAGATCGGCAATTAGGCGTTTGTTATTAATTTTAGAGGATGCCTTGTATTAAAAAAGTTGCTTGCTGAATGACGGCGTCACTTATGTAGGGTTAATTATAACTACGCTTACGCCTTTTTAAAACTTTTCAACGTTATTTTTGTTGCACATAAGCTCCGAAAACATAAAAACCTCTTTGAAGATACCCCCTACTTGAGTGGCGCCATCATTATAGTTCTGACGACCGCCGCTTCCCAAGTGAATGCCGATAATCCGGCAGGCACAGGAAATCTAGGAGGCGTTGTTTCAGTAAGAATAGTGGTCGTCGTCACGTGAATGCGTGGATATTTGAAGATCTTGTGGTGATTTCCCGCAAGAGGCGCTGCCAAAGGTAGGCGGCCGATTCAAAAGGCATCTCCCAAACATCCAACCATCCATTTTTGATCAAAGCCACATTACCAAACTCGACAGTGGTCCGCGGATACAAAAGGATTTGCGAAGAAAATTTGGGGATTCTGTGATAGCCATCTTGGAAAAAAAAAAAGAAACGCTTTTTGCAGGCACACAACTGTGGCTTCTTCCGACTTTTGCTGTGCTTTACTCAATGACAGCTTTGTACTGTGGCGGAGCTGAGTTTTTGTTTTATCTTTTTCATGAGATGGTGGCAAAACGTTTGTTGCCGATACGTTTCTGCAACATATGCCTGCCAGGATATAATTTTTCTAGGTTTGCATATTTGAAGAGCAAATTCAGCCACAAGCATGTTTAATGTGACTGCAAAACACACGGCTTATTGAAGTTCTGGTGAGATTGTTGAGGCCTTTTTGTTAGAAAATTGTTTGCCATTTCATGCTAAATGGTTGACGATGTACTTTTTTACCCATTCTCTTTTTCTTTTTTTTTCTCTCATCGCAAATAATCTCTTATCACTTTTTCCACAATAGATCCCCTAAATATACAAGGCCGATGGATGAATGGATGGATGAACTTTATTTGGCCCTGCGGAACAAGCTTTAGCACGTTGCGGGCCGCTCCCACGTTGGAACAGAAAGACCGAGCATAGTGTTAATATACACATTAAGAGGAAAGCTGGGCCGACAAAGCTATTTTTGGAACATTGTCATTGGTACTATTACAATGCTTTAAATAAGCGCTAATTATATATGGCAGTTCAAAACACTCAACGTATTATAAACATGCAAATTATGTGATATGTTTATATAAACTACATTTAGGAAAGATACAATGGCCATTTATTTATGCAATGGCAGTTTGCGCGCGAAAAGGAGCATTTGCAGGTTTGTTTACCAGATGGCACCACCATTTCGGTACATCAACATTTGAGAGCATGATTAGAGAACACCTATTTACTACCATTTGCTAATACTTACTCCAGAGCACTTACTCGATCATCGAGGTTTTCTGTGGTGTGATTGTGTGGCATGCGGCCGATTTCGATCACCAACTTGCTTGCGCGCCAGTTGGGTCGGACACATTGCCTCGTCGTCCGGGTGTTTTGTTGCCATGAGCCAATAACTCGACTTTATGTGGCAATATATATTACTGCGACGCAATTAACAGAGAGCCAAGAAGTCACAGAAGTGCCAGGATTTTTTGCGTCATTGAATGGCGAGTGCGCGTGGACGCCACGTGAAAGCCAAACATTGTTCCATCATGGCGGAACCCGAGCGGCTATAGATCTTAATTGTAGAGTTTCATACAATAATACTCTACGGTTTTAATGCATGGGTCCTATAAGGAGCTTTCTATGAGGCTGAGAGCCACTACTTTATGCTAACAATTAAGCGTTCCTAGATTCTAGGGAGTGAACACGCACAGCTGACAACGCCGTTAGCGCCGTGATGCGGCAATTAACCACCCAATTTTAACGACAAGACTAACCTCCGAGATAGCACGTTCACGGGCGTGTCGGCTCGAAACGTAGCTCTACTGTAGTTTCTCGTTGCTACACTGTACTCGTAAGTCGCTCCATGCCGAGAGGAGGGTTTGCGCTGTGCTTGGCGCTACCACGTGGGAGCTACAATATGACGAAACCGACGAAACAGGTTACCGTGTTGCCTCAGTGAAATTTGGCATTATCTGCGTGATTGCCTGTCCGAACAAAGAAGTGAAAGTGCAGGGATGGTACAGGGGAACATGTGGACGCTTGAACCGGTGGGAAAACTTTGAACGACAATCACGGAATCACAGACCAACAATTTTTCTTGAGCCACGACAGGAAACTCTAGCTGCTTCAAACACCTTGACTGGCAGGTATATGGGCTCTATATGAACCTACAACTTGTTCTTAATTGATCTTTAAATTAAGCTGGAGACGATAGAGTAGAGTAGAACCATGAAAAAGCAGATTTATTGGAGCGCTCTTTGGTTTCATCTTCTTTTGGCAGGACCAAAATCAGACAACGTTTTAAAAACAGAGTTGTGGTGGGCAAATATTTTACATTGTAAATAATTACTAACCTTTGCCATCTCAAATGATATCCATGCAGGTATATATGCACTTGCAGTGGCTGGAAATCAATATCAAAAACAAGAAAAAAAAAACACACCACTCTGAAGTACGCTGTATCTGAAGAATATGCTTACTGCACGAGCCATAACATGCGGAGAAGAAGAAGAAGACTTTAAGTTGGATGTTTACAGAATTGTTAAAGATGTCGCCGGACGGTGCACTGCGACGCGGTACACACCAAATTCCAGTGAATGAAAGACTGACATAAGCGGTACGTTCGCTTTCAAATTCGTTACACTTGCGCACCAAAGGTATGAAAGATTCCAATCACACATGGATAATAGAAATTGATTGATTGATTTGTGGGGTTTAACGTCCCAAAACCACCATATGATTATGAGAGACGCCGTAGTGGAGGGCTCCGGAAATTTCGACCACCTGGGGTTCTTTAACGTGCACCCAAATCTGAGTACACGGGCCTACGACATTTCCGCCTCCATCGGAAATGCAGCCGCCGCAGCCGGGATTTGAACCCGCGACCTGCGGGTCAGCAGCCGAGTACCTTAGCCACTAGACCACCACGGCGGGGCATGGATAATAGAAATGACTCCGTTGAAATGAATCTTCGTGGTTTTGCATTATTGAAGGAGCTTTGTATCAACAGGCACGCGTATGATAGCTTTGCAAACGAGAAGTAACAGATTGCTACCGGCGAGTTTTGATTGTGGCGGAGTCCACGCATGCTGAAAAGTTGTCCGTGCTCTTACAATTCGTGGGGTTCCGGATGTCGTTGGTCAAGGCGCGGCGTACACATTGTGGGGGTGTGTCGCATGGAGCGTCGGCTCTTTGTTTCAAAGTCAGTTATTCAGATGCAAGATCGTAGCTGAGCACCCGAACATGCGCATAAGCAACGGCGTCTCGAATTTCGATGTATTCGTGGCGGACTCATCGGCTGCTGACATGGATGGTGAACTGGTGCTACGTTACACAGAGATGAGCGGCTCGCTTTTGCGTGATAGTCTGTCCGTGTGTACGTCTGCGTGCAAGAAATACCCGAACAGTCACGAGAAGGCCGCTAAACGCATCAAACAGACCATGGACAGGCGCCACGGGTCTCCTTGGCACGTTGTCGTCGGTGCCTCGTTCGGCCTTGAAGTGACACATGAAGTGCGACACATTCTTTACCTAGTATGTTGCTCAAAGTTCGCGGTGTGTCTATGGAGGTGTTCTTGAGGAATCGGCAGCAAGGCAAGATGGGCATTGATCGAACCGCGTCTGCGTTTGTGTCGAAAGTTTGCTGATGCGTGGTTTCTGCACCCCGTTCTATTCAAAATATGTCTAGCCTCTGCATTCTCTTGCTTGTGTTGTCAGTGCCGTTTGGCAGTAACATACGTGTATCTTTCCACGCAAACTCACTTGTTGCTTGAAGAGATATGTGTAAAGACATGCTGCAGTCAAAACCACAGGTTTCCTTCGGTTGCCACCCCGCCGCGGTGGTCTAGTGGCTAAGGTACTCGGCTGCTGACCCGCAGGGCGCGGGTTCGAATCCCGGCTGCGGCGGCTGCATTTCCAATGGAGGCGGAAATGTTGTAGGCCCGTGTGCTCAGATTTGGGTGCACGTTAAAGAACCCCAGGTGGTCTAAATTTCCGGAGTCCTCCACTACGGCGTCTCTCATAATCATATAGTGGTTTTGGGACGTTAAACCCCACATATCAATCAATCAATCCTTCGGTTGCCTATCAAAACCCCAAATGGCGGTTCATGGCTGTTAGTGAACAACAATGCGTTAAGTGTGCAGTGTGCGTTCCGGTGATTAGTGTGGTTTGCGGGCTCTACTGCCTGTTTATGTGGCTGCAATGTTGCGTTTTTGTGTGTGCATGTTTGCGTGTGTACAGAATTTAGAGGGGGGTCATGTTATTTCTTGAAAATTTCAATGCAGTTCAGAATATACTTATTGTCAATCAGGGTAGTCATATCTGACAAACAGGCTCTGGAGCTGTATTTCGAGAGCGAAGGCAGGATTAGGGCTTTCTCATTTCTAGGCATGCCTTCTTTCTTTCATTTGCTATTGTGCAACGAAATCCCAATTTCCAATAACAGATCAAATGCATAAAACCGTGGGTTTAGGGTTTGATACCGAATTCTTTAAGTGAAACTTCACTTTACCAATGCCCACACGTGCAATTTTCTACATTTTGAGTGAATGTATAGCGATTTTTGCATTCGTCACTGTAAGTTGTTTATCTGGTTTATTTCTCAAAGTATACTTGGAATCTCAGTGTCACTAACATAATCGAGCTACAAGACCTTCGAAATGGTAAAAGTCAAATTGAGGCTCCACATCATGCAAGTGTGCAGAACCTGAAGCACAGGGCTTTTGATTGTCATATTGGTCAGCATTCATTTCGTTCCCTTCACGTTTTTTTTAACCACATGCGATTCCGAGAGATGTGCAACCACACTGTATGGGTATCATTTTAAAGAAAAAATTTTTAAGTGTCCCAACTTGTGCAACAAACTGTGATAAAAACACCCTGTTACTTTATGCAGTCCACATCGTTTACTTTAATAGGATCGAATATGATGCCTGTGCAGCTGTGGCCATTGTATTTCGATTAAAAATTTACAAGGACTTATATACCATGCAGGTCGATTGCACACAGGCCTTATTATAATAAAACCTTTATCAAAAACAAATTATTTACCAGATCCACCGGTGTCCATGCTATTCAGGAAGTTCTGCTACAATGAGTGCAGACGGTCATCTTGAAAGTTTCTTAGCTTCTCGAGACAAG